ATGAAGCATTGAAGCTTCAAACTGCTTCACCACTAGAGACCCAGCAGGCTGTGGATATAAGCAACACTTCGGGTGTCATCACTCCCTGATGGGACCGTCTCGGTGCAGAGAAACAAGCTCAGGGCTCCGTTAGTCATCATTGTGAGTTAAAATGTCCACGAAAGGAAAATGTTCGTTTTTGTGGCGCATCTGTATCTTATTTTGAAGGGATATGTAAACGTTACCATAGCGACCAGAGTCAGAGAGCGTTTGGGCAGTGGTCGAGAGGAGATGAGTAGAGCTTGTGAGTCTTAAGTCTGGTTTAGACGGCAAGATTTAAGGATGTCGGCCGATTCTCCAAACCTCTGTGACCACAGAGCTGATAAAAGTCCAACAGGTTCGATCGGTTCGTGTTCAGCCTCAAGGCAGGAGCAACACGAACCGATTCCAGTCACCAACATCCCGATTCCAGAGGATGATCCAGTAAAATCCCAACATAGTGGCAATTTAGAATGACCAAACATGGATGACGATGTAGAAGCAATAGTGACAGTTTGTGGAGACATTTTAAGAGATAAAAGAAACAAAAAGAAAAGGCGGTGGATAAAAGACAGCGGGAGCAGCCGCTCACTATGATTTGGAGGTGAATATGTTTTTTCATAGTTAACATTTTTAACTAAATAAATATAATAATGACCTTTACATATAATAATAAACATTTCCACATATCATCTCCGATATCCACCGGACTCACAGTTGTGCGATATGTCAGCTGTTTGGGATTCCCCTCTGTTCTTACGTCACCGCGCTTTCTGATTGGCTACCTGTCACATTCAGCAGGTTGTATTCTCGTTCCCAGTCAGGGAAAACCCCACAGGCTGCGATAAAAGGGCCAAGACAACCAAACTGGGTATATTCAGGATTTAGCGGGAACACCAACATGCAGCAGCTTTGTCTGAAGGATCACACCCCGGGCCGCAGCTAAATTTCCAAGTCTTGACCGGTCTGCGGTAATAAAAAGGTTGGGGACCTCCGACCTAAAGCATCAGGTTTCTTCAGCTCAGTGACGCGGAGCCCCTTGTGGCGGTTCCGGGGTGCTGCAGGTTTTTGCCCGGAGTTCTGCTGTTTCCTGTCACTGTGGGATCAGAACCGCTTCTTCCTCCTCTTCCTCGGTGTGATGAAGAACATCTGAGCATCAGAACCGTCTGACCCTAAAGCAACGCGGGGCCTACAGGGTCTGACCCAGAAGGTTCTGGTTCTGACCCGGTTCTGTGTAAAAGCCTTGTCTTCTCCATGTTCTGCCGGGATATTGGATATTTATTCATAAACTGAATTTCTGCTCATTTAATTTTTATTTGGACTAATAAACTAATCAGAACAATAAATGGACCTGGTTTTTAACCAGAATCAGGCAGAACTTGGTCAGAACCGGGATCCGGATAGTAACGAATTGTGACCCGAACTGATTCCAGAATATGATCTGTGTGAGGAACCGGTTCTGTTGAGCTGAACTGGGTCAGGTTTCCAGCCAGGCTGTGCTGCCACCTGCTGGTGAAAAGTCACAAATACACACAAAGTGTTGGAAACCCGCGTCTGATGACTGACGTTTATCAGGCTTGAGTGACAAAAGTCGACCGATTCTCACAAAAAGGGGGTTTTTATTTATTTTACCATTTTATCTATTTATTTATTTTACCATTTTGTTAGCTACTGAAAGTTACAACCTTGACATGATTATATGAGTTGTTTTACCGATCAGAAGCGACGTGGAAATGAACGGATCCTCTCTGGCTGCAATGCGCGCTCCTGACACAGGGGGCAGAATTTCCCATAAGATCGGTGCTGATACCGGTCCAGTTCCACCATCACAGCTCAAACAGACTGGTCCTGGATCTGCTCTCTGGACGTCATTAGGGTGGGGACATGGCCTTTGAGGAACCGAGCCACTGATTGGTCCGCTGGGGCCGGGTGGCCAATCACAGAGCTGCATGTTGCCACGTGGCAGCGCCGCTGGCCTCAGCAGGAAGAACCGACGGTTAGGCTGGAAGAGAGGAAATAGACCCAAAACAAATAAGTTCCGACCCGGTCCGAGAGAACAGAACAGGAATCGAACGTCAGGGGGAGGACCGAACCGGACCGGAGTGCTGGTTCTGGTACCGGTGATTGTTACAGCCAGGTGAGTTAGCATCATTAGCATCCTGGCTGTTAGTATCATCCGGGTCAGAACTAAACGATTGTTGTGGATGGGGTTTTGATGGAGAGGCTCGGTTCTTGAGGAGAACAGAACCAGAACACAGTCCGGTACCAACAGGCCCAGTTTGGTCCCAGCCAGACTCAGGTTCGGTCTATGGAAGCCGGGTCAGCAGTAGGAACTTGAATCAGAACCAGAACCTAGTCATCTGCTGCAGAGGACTGTGGTTAGAATCGGAACCGGATCCAGAACCAGATCCAACCAACAGAGGAAACTGAGTGATTTCATCTCCAAACTGGATCACATGCAGAACCTTCATCCTCAGACAGAGCAGGGTGCCGGTTCTGATGGACCCTGTCCGGTTCTGGACGTCAGGTATCATAAGGTCCGTTCAAACACTTGAGGTTCTGCACCCCACAGAAGTTCTGCAGAACCTGGTTGCTTTGAGCCCAGAACCAGCGGCAGAGTTTTATGTTTTCCAGGCTCATGAATCATTTGGTGGCATCATCAGTAACTAAGTTACCATCAGTCAGAAAAACCTAATCAAATGTTTCTCAAAGTAAATTTGACTTCCTGATTTATTGTCTTGAAATTGGGTCTCTGTCTCTTTAAAAACTCCTGCTGATTTTCAAGTTCCACCTCCAGGAAGTCGTCCCAACATGGCTCCTCTATTAACCCTTTAATGTCGTTACCAGTGTTGCTCTGAACAGCAGCTCCTATAATGAGCTCAGCTGTTTGCTAATTGCTTCTAGCTAGTCTGAAGGAGCTGAGCGGGAGGAGCTGGACCTCAGAGGCGGGGCTAGGCCCACCTAAGCGTTTGAATGGCTGAATGGTTGCCATGGAGATTAAATAATTTCTCAAACATTTAATCGGACCTGGAGTTCTGATGGGTCCGGTTTATATGCAGCTGTTCAGCTCTGGGTCGACAGTTCTGACCGGGTGGGAGGACACAGAACATCTAGCAGGTCTAGTGGACTGGGCAGAGTCACCAGAGACCGGTTCTGATTTGTTCCTCCTCCAGGTCCCCCCAGCAGCCATGAGCGGTGAGCCCGACCCGCTAGTGGCCCGGCCCGACCCGGTTCCCGACCCGCTGGTGGCCCGGCCCGACCCGGTTCCCGACCCGCTGGCTGTGGTGACCCAGCTGAGGGACCTGGCGGCCGACCCGATGAACCGCAGAGCCATCGTCCAGGACCACGGCTGCCTGCCGGGCCTCATCCTGTTCCTGGACCATCCGGACCCTCAGGTGGTCTACTGCGCCCTGCTGGTGAGCCCTCGACCCGGACATTTGGTTTTATTGGCCGGTATCAAGTCGGTTCTGGTTCTGATTGCTGCTCCGGGTCTGCGCAGGCGGTCCGGTACCTGGCAGAGTGCCGAGCCAACAGAGAGAAGCTGAAGACAGAGCTGGGGATGATGCTGAGCCTGCAGAACATCGTGCAGAAGTGAGCGACCTTCCTCCAGAACCGAAGGGACCCGGTTGGGCTCAGTCCGACAGAACCGTGTGTGGTAAACACTGCGGTCCTCCCTGCAGGTCCACCACTCCAGGAGAGACCAAGCTGCTGGCCTCAGAGATCTACCAGCTGCTGCAGGCGGTGCCCGGCGCCGACGAGCCGCAGGCGGTCGGGCCGGCGCGTGGCGGCGCGCGGCGCAAGGCCCAGTTCTTCCTGGGATCCAGCAATAAGAGAGCCAAGACAGTGATCCTGCAGATCCACGGCCTGGACGACCCGGTGGGTCCGCAAGCAGACTCTGCTGTCCAGTTCTGGTCCGCTGTAGGGTTCTGATCTGCTGTCCGGTTCTGATCCGCTGCAGGGTCGGCGCAGTCTGTGTGAGGAGGCTCTGCTGAAGATCCGAGGCGTCATCAGCTTCACCTTCCAGATGGCTGTTAAGAGATGCGTTGTTCGGATCCGATCGGACCTGAAAGCTGAGGTGAGGATGGTTCTGTCCGGAATATTCAGGAAGAACCGAAGCTTTTCAGGATGAATGGAAAATACTTCATAAGACATGGAATGATCTGAACCGACCGTTTTCCCTGATCGGTCCTGCTCCCAGAGAGCTTCCTGATGTCTGCCTTGGTTTTCCAGGCACTGGCGTCGGCCATCGCTGCCACGGAGGTCATGACGGCTCAGCAGGTGGTGAAGGATGAGAACGGAGACGAGGTCAGGTCACCTGCTGCAGTTTCACACTTCCTATCTGATGTGGAGGAAAATATAGTAGAAATTTAGCCGCAATGACAGCCTGAATGTAGCCTTAATGCTAGCTTAGCCCCAGTTAGCTTAGCCTTAATGCTAGCTTAGACTCAGTTAACTTGGTCTTAATGCTAGCTTAGCCACAGTTAACTTAGCCGTAATGCTAGCTTAGACTCAGTTAACTTAGCCTTAATGCTAGCTTAGACTCAGTTAAATTAGCCGTAATGCTAGCTTAGACTCAGTTAACTTAGCCTTAATGCTAGCTTAGACTCAGTTAAATTAGCCGTAATGCTAGCTTAGACTCAGTTAACTTAGCCTTAATGCTAGCTTAGACTTTGTGGGTGAAGAAATAACAATAATTCCTCACATCTGATCATCTTTAATAACTTCTCAGGTTATTTTTTCTGAGTTCCCACAACCTGAAGAACCGGGTCAGCAGTAATCCTGGTGGTTCTGTTTTGTTCTGCAGGTTCTGGTCCATTTCCCGGAGGCCGGTTCTGTATCGGTGGAGCAGAACCTGGACCTGCCGGAGTATCTTCCGGAAGAGGAGAGTCCGTCTCAAGACCCGGACAAGGCGATCAGCCGGGTCGGGTCGGGTCAGGACGGGTCCAGCTGGCTCGGCACTGCCGCCAACTTCCTGTCCCGCTCCTTCTACTGGTGACCCATCAGAACCAGAACCAGCTGCTGGATCAGAACCAGAGTGTCTTACTGAGCGGGACAAACGGGTCAGAACAGAAATCCAGAAGTTTTCTATTTATTGTCCAAACGGCCCAAACCACAGAACTGGAGTTTTAATTGGTTCTGATCAGGAACAGTGACACCAGAACCGGGTCAGAACAACTTCCCTGTTAAGTGTTTAATCCAGACCAAATGTTCTGATCCGGGCTTTCCCACAGCAGCTTTCCGGACCGTCGTCATGTTTACACTTTACCCGACTGGATGCCTTGAAACCAGAACCGACCGGTCCCGGTAAGCTCGGAACCATCTGACCCGACTGGTTCCCCTTGAACGAACGCTAACGGGTCTTAAAGCTGGGAACCAATTTGGGAATCGACAGAGAGGATCCAATTCAGCCGAATTTTTTCCTCAGGAAAACCTCAGATGTTCCCAGCATTCCCAGCATTCCCGGGATCCAACAGAACAAAGACCCGGGTCATTTCCTCCTGATGGATCTCTGATCTCCAGCATTCCTGCTGAGCTGCATACCTGACCATGTGTTCAGTGTTAGCCCCGCCTCCTCCTGCCTCTGTCCAATCACAGGGCTTCAGTCGTGCAGAACTGGATCCCAACACTGGGATCCATCCATAGATTCCCAGTCTGGACTGCTGGAACCAGGCCGTGTGACCATGTCTGCTTCAGAACCACTGGTCCGATTCTGAACAGACCGTTTCTGGTTCTGAACCGGTTTCAATCATTGTGACTGTTAATCTTCATCATCTTCCTCTTCCTCAGTGTGAATAAAATGCTTCAGTCTGAAACTGCCTGGTTTCATTCATGACCCGCTTCATCGGTTCTAGAGCTGAACCAAGCTGCAGCAGGTGAACAGAACCTCCACTGGTTCTGCTGGAACCAGAACCAGACAGTTGGCACCATGAGGTTGAGGTTCTGTAGAACCTCCAGACTGACTGGTTCAGAACCGGGTACAGCTCTTATTGTGAAGGTCCCACTTTTATTGTGAAGGGGAGCTCTAATTGTGAAATTTCTGCTCTTATTGTGAAGGGACAACTCTAATTGTGAAGGTCCCGCTCTTATTGTGAAGGGACAACTCTAATTGTGAAGGTCCCGCTCTTATTGTGAAGGGACAACTCTAATTGTGAAGGTCCCTGCCAGCGGCAGCTTCTGCCTCCCTCCGTCGGATCAGAGTTCAGCGTCCCGCCCCGGACCGAAGCGGAACCGAAGCGGAGCCATGTCCTTCCTGCTGCCGCTGCTGATCAGCCTCCTGCTCGGTCTGCTGTTCTGGATCCTCCGCGGCAGAACCAGGTCAGTTCTAACTCTCCGGGCCGATTCGGTTCTGTAACTGGGTTCAGATAGATCAGTTGAATTCAGAACACAGAGAGGAAAAGTTCTGGAGCTCCATGTTTCCCTGACATGGAGACGAGTCCTCAGAGTTCCTGGCTGAGCCGCATGTTCTGATCCGAAACTTTTCTATAAAGCTTTGTGCTTCATCATCACCGTCATCATCATCATCATCTTAAAGGGGAAGTCCCCGCATGGAGCCTGACCGCCATGACTCGTTTAGAGATGAGGAACTGAGTCAGCAGCTAACGGTTCCAGCTGCTCCGCTGCAGGTCCGGACCGGTTCCCCAAGGCTCCTTCCTTGGAACCCAATGGCTCAGGTTGTAGCAGGAAATACAATTGGTTACCATGACGACGCAGATGATACAGAGCACTACATTATGTCACCAGGTGACCTTTGACCCGTCAATCACTGCTCAGAAGAGATAAATATGTGGATGAGTCCAAACTTTCTTCAGCTAAACGGAAACAGAACTGAAGTTATCCCTGGACCTAAAGAGGAACGATCTAGAGCTATAGATCTAGAGTTATAAATCTAGAGCTATAGATCCAAAGTTATAGATCTAGCGCTATAGATCTAGAACCAAAGTTATACATCTAGAGCTATAGATCTAGAGTAAATGCACAGCTCCAGCTGTTCCAGCTGTAAACTAGAGATCAGGCTGACCTCTGACCCTCCAGAGCCACATAAAGCCGGTTCCTCAGTGGACCTTCCTCCAGCTGCAGGACATTCAGGCCCAGAGGACGAAAGTCTCCGACCAGAGAAACTCATCCAGGATTTAGTGCAGCAGGTCAGACTGAGACCAGAAGCTGCAGCTGGAGATCTGACTAGAACCAGGAGGGTAGAGACACCACCCGGTTCTACACCACCTGGTTCTACAGCACCCTGTTGTACACCACCCGGTTCTACACCACCTGGTTCTACACCACCCGGTTCTACACCACCCGGTTCTACACCACCCGGCTCTACATGACCCGGTTCTACATGACCCGGTTCTACACCACCTGGTTCTACACCACCTGGTTCTACATGACCCGGTTCTACACCCCCTGGTTCTACATGACCCGGTTCTACACCACCTGGTTCTACACCACCTGGTTCTACATGATCCGGTTCTACACCCCCTGGTTCTACATGACCCGGTTCTATACCACCCGGTTCTACACCACCCGGTTCTACATCATATAGTTCTACACCACCTGGATCTACACCACCTGGTTCTACACCGCCCGGTTCTACACCACCTGGTTCTACACCACCCAGTTCTTCAGTCCTTTAGCAGTAGTTCACTAGGGAATCTGCGGGGCGTGTCCGGTCCTGTTCCTGCTCTGGATCGGGTCTCACTACCTGCTCTGTAACAACCACAAAACCCAAAGAAGTGTTGATCCAGAACTGCTGGATCTGGATCTCAAAGGAACAGTTGAAACACTGGATCAGAATCAGAACCTGGGCTGTGTTTGACGTTGAGCAGCAGAGAGCTGAAGCTGAAGCTGCAGCATTGGAGAAACAGGAAAGGTGTTGGCTTTCCGATGGGATCAGAGGAGGATGAAGGGTGGAGCCACTCTGTCCCAGTTCCAGCAGCAGAACTCCAAAAAGAAGTCGAGAGTTCACGCAGTGACTTGTTACCGTGAGAGGAGACAGCCGCTGCAGCCTGCTGTCTCCTCCCACGCTGCTCTGGGCTCGCATCCAACCATGGTCTAATTCAGAGGAATGATCTGGGAATGTTTGGTTGCAGGAAACCAGGCGAGCCGCCACTGGTGAAAGGCTGGATCCCCTTCATAGGGAAGGCACTGGACTTCGGGAAGGACGCTCACAAGTTTCTGGAGGAACATAGGAGGAAGCATGGGGACGTGTTCACGGTCCAGATCGCAGGTGGGTTCTGAAGCTGCTGGACGGAGGGAAAACTCGATCCATGATGACCCACCGTGGATCATCATGGATCATGGTTTCTGTCTATTTAAAGACATATTTTTTTAAATATACAGTACCTCCACAAACCCCTTTGGGAAAGTGACCCCAATGTTGAAGACCTCTGGTCTAGATTGTTCCAGATGGGTCCCATAGCACAACCTCACTCAGTTTCACCAGAACCCAGTCAGGAGCTGAAAGGTGGAGGGTTCTGAGATGCTAACCAAGAACTTCTGTCTCCTGCAGGTAAATTCATGACCTTCATCATGGACCCCCTGCTGTACCCCAGTATCATCAAGCAGGGCCGGCAGCTGGACTTCCATGAGTTCACCGATAAGGTGGCTCCTCTAACCTTCGGCTACCCTCCCGTCCTCGGCACCACCTTCCCCGGCCTCTGGGAGCAGATTAAGCGCTCCTTCCAGCTGCTGCAGGGGGACCACTTGGCACCTCTGACAGAGAGCATGATGGGTAACCTGATGCTGGTGTTCCGTCAGGACCACCTGAATGGGGCCGGCGACTGGAGGAGAGGCAGCCTGTACGAGTTCTGCTGCTCTGTCATGTTTGAGGCCACCTTCCTGACTATCTATGGCAGACCAGTGACTGGCATCCGCCACGGAGGGATGGACCGTCTGAGGGATGACTTCCACAAGTTTGACAACATGTTCCCGTTCCTCATTGCTCAGATTCCCATCTGGCTGCTGGGGCGGACCCTGGCCATCCGCCAGAAGCTGATCTCCTACTTCCTGCCACAGCACATGTCCCAGTGGACCAACACTTCCCAGTTCATCCGGAGAAGAGCGGAGCTGTTTGAGCAGCAGGACAAGCTGAAGGACGTCGATAAAGCTGGTAGATGATCCGGAGGATGATGCTGGCCCGATAAATGATATCAATGACATCCAGAACCTCAGGAGGCTCTGGGTTTCTGTAGAACAGCCTCCCTGGGTTCCAGACAGACTAGATTTGTGGTTCTGGAGAACCTTTCAGCTGGTTTGTCTCAGTTCTTTGTGTCTTCTGTCCTCCAGCTCATCACTTTGCTATCCTGTGGGCGTCAGTGGGCAACACGCTTCCTGCTACCTTCTGGGCCGCCTACTTCCTGGTGAGTCAGGTGGAGGCGTTGAAGGTGGTCCGCCAGGAGATCGTTGACGTCCTGCGGGACAGTGGTGTGGACTTCAGCACCAGCAGCGACGTCATGCTCAGCAAAGAGCAGCTGGACAAGCTTATCTTTCTGGGTACGTTCCAATTCACGTTCAGGTCAGTGGTGAAGCGGGTCGATAACGGGCCATCTCCATCCTCAGAGAGTGCCATCAGTGAGAGCCTCCGCCTGTCCTCGGCCTCCATGAACATCCGGGTGGCCCAGGAGGACTTCAGTCTGCGGCTGGACTCCAACCGATCAGTGGGCGTCAGGAAGGGAGACGTCATCGCCCTGTACCCTCAGAGTCTGCACCTGGACCCTGAGGTCTACGAGGACCCACAGGTACGGGATCAGAGGTCACCTTAAAACCCCGCCCCATGCAGTGCATCACCCAAGGTCTTCCTCTTCTGGATGAAGATATCGGCCTACCTAAGTACTAGTGCTGTGCACTTCAACTCTGTAAGAACATCAGAACATTATAAATGTTTCATCAGCACATTGGGCTCATGTGATTCCTGCTCCAGAAAGGTGAAGGTCTCTGGACATCCTGAAGGTAAACAGCAACCAGTCAGGAAGACGGACACTGATGAGACGCCCTGCAACTCAGAACCACGATTGTCTGCAGTTTACCAACATCTGGAAACACACTGGAATATATTCTGAATTAATTCTGACATTTTTAAGTTATTTGCAACACCCTGACTAACATTAGCTCATGTATATTCGGCACTATTACAAGTTTTATCGTAGTTTCATATAAAAATCATTAGTTCACCTGCACCATCTGAGCCACCTGCTTTCCTCCCCTGCAAGGCGGAGTTCAGCTCCTCCTCACCACATCGCATCATTCCTCCTGCGGTGCATTTTCTTGAAGCCTCAAAAATCACAACCAGGCTATAAAAAATAGCTCAGCTGTCTCTTCTTTTGTCTCACAAAAACAACAACTAAGGTTAGTTCGCATGTAACGAAGCTCTGCCCCCCCACAGCCAGGAGTGGCACCCTGCTACAGAGCCGAGACGGCCGGTGGAACGCCGAGCCGGGCCGGGCCGCTGAAGTAGAACCAGTGGAAAAGGGGCAACAGTATCATCTATACATAAAGAGAAACATTTCCAGCCAGTCCATTGTCCCCACAGCTACAGGTCTACCCAGCTAAGCTACCCATGGGGATTTCTGTGGGTTCCTCTGGAAAGTCCTTCTGACGGTTAGCAGAACTGGACCTCTGCTGGTTCTGTCAGATGTTTCGGGTCTCAAAGCGTTCCTCAGTTCTCTGACCGGTGGAGCCTTTCAGAGATGGAACACCTTCCAGAACCAGAACCAGAGGCGGTCCAATTGTGTTTGGATCACACTGACCTGGATCTGACTCTTCAGAACCATGGATCTGTTTAAAGAGTCTACTTGGCTCAGAACCAGAACCTTGACCTTAAATTCAGAGAGTCCAGCAGACAGACTGGACCTGGTGTCCTCCTGAAGTTCTAACAGAACCTGAGAACAGAACCGAGTCCTTGTCTTCTTCTGACCCATCTTCCTCGTGTCTCTGCAGACGTTCCGGTTCGACCGCTTTGTGCAGGACGGCAGAGAGAAGACGGACTTCTCCAAAGACGGACAGAAGCTGCGCTACTACCTGATGCCGTTCGGCTCCGGATCGTCCATGTGTCCTGGACGATACTTTGCCATCAACGAGATCAAGCAGTTTGTCTGTCTGCTGCTGCTGTACTTCGACCTGCAGCTGGAGGACGGGCAGAACCGACCCGGTCTGGACCCGAGCCGAGCCGGTCTGGGAATCCTGCTGCCCTCCTCGGATGTCCGGTTCCGGTACAGACTGCGGTCTGTGTGACCCAAAGCGGCGCTGAAGTCCAGATGTCTTGTTCCCTCTGAAGGTTCTCAGGGTCTGGACTCAGTCCGGAGGTTTGGGTTCTGGTTGGGTCTGTGACCCGTCCAGAACCTCCAAGCTGGAATGTGATGGATCCTGATTCTTTCGTTCAGTGTAGACCTGTTAGGAGCACCAGAACCTGAACTCTACTCTTCCTTTAACCCAGTCAGAGTTGCACTGACGACGTCCTGAACCGTCTGTCCATCCATCTCCGGTCTCTCCCAGGTTGTCCTCCGTAATCCCTCTCAGGATCAGGTCAGGTTTGACATTCCTGAATTGTTCCCTGTCCAACATGGCGTCCACAGTGGGTCCCTGTCTACAAGTTGCTACTACAGGTGTCCTCATGTCCAGTCCTTCATGGACGACCTGTCTCCAGTCCAACATGCCTGGTCCACCTCCTCAGTGTCCAGCCCAGTTCGGTCCAGAGATGACCTCATTATTGGACTCGGGTGCTGAAACAGAGACACGTCCAGAAGCTATTGGACACGAGGACACCTCGGGGACACCGGGAGGACTGTGACGGCGCTGCAGCAGAGATCCTACTGGTCAGAGGGAGCAACTGCTAACAGCGCCTCCTGCTGGTCAAGCTGCAGAACTGTCCCAGATTAAAACTGGTTCTGATCCGATTTGTTCTGTAATTTTATCCACAGTAGGAATTTATTTTCTGTCTCATGTTTTATTAACCTTAATCCTTATTTTAATTCAGTGTTCAATATTAAACTGTATGTTCTATGCTGTTGTTTTACCTTCATGTTTTATTAGGCTGTGGTTCTTATTGATTTGGGTCGGAACAGACCCAGACCTTCTTCACCTAACTGTTTCTTCCAAATAAAAACTTTTAAATATTAGTTTATAAATTATTCATTAAATTACATATTTGGTCAGTTTGGGACTTGGACTTGTTGAAAATTGGACCGGGTCCACATTGGATCACTTCAGTGAAACCGGCTTTATCTTCGTGTTCCGGGTTCTGCTCCACTCCAATACCGGAGCGGCCCAAGTCACCCCTCGACTCTGCGTTGTGTTTTTTAATGAAGAGAACATACCGGCTCAGCTTCACTCAGCACACTGCATTACGTTAGCATTTAGCTTTAGCACGTAGGATGTTTTATAGTAATCACTGTTTCTCCACCTGGTCCTCAGCCCCCCTGCTCTGCATGTTCTAGATGAGCCTCTATTCCAGAACAGCTGATTTAAATGATTGCATGACCATCAAGAGCTGCAGATCCTGTTAATCACCCAGAGATACAATCCAGGTGGCAGAAGGGAAACACCTGAAACATGGAGGACAGGAGGCCTGAGGACCAGGGTGGAGAAACTCTGCATTAAAGAAACTAAAAGTACAAAAGTTGGACCCAAGAAAACATCTTGTAAGTATTAATTACTCTCCAGTTAATAAAAATGATGTTTTATGTTGTGCTAACGTTTTTCTATGCTGTGCTGAAAAATGCACTGCAGCTTTCACTGAGTTCAGGGCCAGCAGCAGATAACCAGCTGCCCAAGTAAAATAAAGTATTCTTTAGTATACTAAATTTTAACATACTTTGATTGATGTACTTAAACTGTACTACTTTGGAACAACTAATTTTGTACTCAGTATACTTCAGTAGTATTTAAATAGTATTAAATTACAACTTTTAGTATACTTCACCATACCTTTTTGGAACAACTTCAAGTTGTACTTGGTATACTTAAAGTATACTTTAAATGTAATATTCAACAGCTTCATTTTTATATTGAGTGTACCAATTCTGTCATAGAATTATATTAGAAATATACTTTTAATATATTTTAAATATACTACTAATATATAAGTAATGTATTTAAATTACACTTAATTTTGAGATTTGATTTACTGCTATTGCTAATAAAGTACAATTTTAATTACTCATAAGTCTTTATTCATACTTTGTACATTACATGCATAACTACACTGCAGTACTTACATTGTTTTAGGCTACAATTACATGGAAAGATTAATTACACAAGATGTTCAAGGTAATTCAAATATTTTTTATTACAGACATTTTAAAATTGTCCAATTTTACTCACAACTTTATGAACTTTACATAAATTATCAGTTTACACATCTAAAGTGAACACAATGAACATGAAAATTTAAGTGTAACAATAAAAAATGAAAGTGAGGATCAACGACAGAACATTCCCGTTCACTGCACCTTACACTGTTTAAGCTTTCTCTGCTTAAACAGAGAAAGCATTTGTATTTAAAGAGAACAGAAAAATGGCAAATAAAAAAAATAATACTTACAATTTCAAGACGTTGTGGACTCACCATGTATGTGACATCATAAGAACTGATGATGATTGGGACCGGATGCCTGGGGTGGAAAAACATTTCTGAGTGTCTTCTTTGCCTGTTTATGTTAGAAGTAGAAAAAAATAGTCAGCAATATCATAGAATCAGCTGATGCTGGCATTAACTATGAAGCTGTTTTAAGTGTGG